GGCCCATGTTCATCCATTTCGTTTTGCGGCCCTGTATTATTGTTTTGAAGTCACCGTTGTCCTAATGTTTGTTTCTTTTTTTCCGAAGACAAAGCGCAAACCAGCTAAAAAAATGTACGGGGCTATGCTCTTCGGGCGCTTTTGAACAAAAAAATCATTTTCACCCGAAAAAGTCACTTACGTCAGTCTTGCACCAAGCCATTCAATTCCTTCAACCTTAGTATTTTAATGTTGCAACTAACAAATTGTGTAAAATTCGATTTTGCAAAAAGTTATTTGCCATCGGAATCCCATACAAACACTTTGCCTACACGCTTTGCCTACCCGTCAAGATGGCATTGAAACCGTGATAAGGTCTATTTTCCACCGTCATTTTTAGGAAAATTTGTTAGACTTAATCTTTTATACCCTGACCTTAGCAAATATCTCAAAGAATAATGCACAAAAAATAGCAAACGTGGTGTGCCAAATCAAGGTTTACAAATGTTTTCCTCAGTCTACTGTGAAAAATATGCCAACTTGCATCTTCATCCTCAATGTAACTATAAAAAGCTGTCACTGGCTAAATTTTATTACAGTACCTTTGAGATTAAAACAAATGTCTTAAGTCTCGTTATTTGTGAATATGGAATTTCCATGGGGTGGGGGGGGAGGGGACCCAAGCAGAAAATCATGGAAATTCCAGGTGGTGGGGGGAGTACCATGAAACCCCTTGGAATGGAAAATCCTGGGGGGTGGGGGGTCAAACTAGAAAAAACCCTCTGTGGGGGATTTGGATATTGTCTGGAACCAAACAGTATGAAAAATTAATGGACATGGTTTATGTTCTCGGTTGTTGTTCTCAGTTTGTAGAAGCCAGCTAAAAACTGTACCGTAAACAAAATATTTAATACATAGATTTAGGCCAGCCTAAAAGCGTAGCTCCTGGGCCGGGTTGTTCAGAGCCCGATTAAGCTAACCCAGGAAAAGAAGAAAAAGTTATAATTCAGTTAACTTTTAATCCTGGGTCAGTGTTAACTGGCTTTGGAACAATCCTGCCCTGTTTTCAACAAGTTAACCTGACATGAGCCCACAATCCAATCGAAAAACCAGCACGTGGTCAACAGTCAACTTCAAAAAACCACGTGACCTCGATGAGCTGTAAACTTGAGCCCATGATATGGTCACATGATACTGGTCAGCAGGTACCTTGTTTTGACAGGTGTCAATTGATCATAACATGGATGTCCAATATCAAAGAAGTGCACGGTAAACCAAGGCTGCATGTCTCTTTCAACCTATTATTTGGAGTATGGCCACCATGTTGTGCGACTCAGTTGTCGCCATCGCCGTCGTTGCCGTCGTCATGTGTACGCGCCCACGAGCAAAACCTCTAGCCATGATAACCGTGAGAAAATCGACTCGTGGGTTTTCTTTTCTTTCCTATATGAGTATGGGGCTCTGCTTGGCGGCCCTTTGCGCTGCCAGAGCTCCGCTATTAATTGTTTCCATTTCGGTCCTCATGGTCTTCATATATAAGGTCTCAAATTCTTACAGGGTACAACTTTCACATGATCTTCACAAGAAACTTTACAACAAGAAATTTCTGAAGTGACATCAAAACCATACCAGAACCTGAACCCTCTTGCCAAGACACTTAGTCAACTTGGAGGTCAAGTCAAGTGGGAACAGGAAAGCTTGATTTGGGGAGAAAATAAGCCCTGGAATCAAAAAACAATGTTTGGGACTAATACTTATGCTGCTATGCTACTGAAATTGTAGGCAATGTAGACTCTTAAATAAAGTGTTTGTCACTGTGGTCCTTAGATGCCAGTATTCAGACACCCTTGGGTCTTATCTGATGTCAATGAGCTTTGTTGTACATCGCAGAAGTGGAGCAGAGTTGTAATTGTGTTCTTGTACACATGCTCCTAGTCCTCTACCAGTCCCCTCACAAAATCCTCAAAGTGGCCACATCGTCTTTTGTATAGTACTCTTCACAGTTATACTTACCTTTCATCAAGTAGTGTACAATGTACAGCAAGAGGCTAAAGCAAGTAAATTATCTGCGTTTACAGGTGATAGTTCACGAGAAACCCACTCAAGGTATGTACCATCATCAATTGTTTCTTGACTCTCTCAAGATTGACCAGCAACAGGAATAAACCACAACAATCACACACAAACTTGTCTAACTGACTGTCCAGATTTTCCATGGGAATGTCAACTGCAGTTCTCACCCTTAATGTAATGTGTTATTTAACGTAATAACACTGATAGTACTCTGTGCATGCTTTGATTGACTGAAAAGCTACATTTTATAATGGTGTAAAACAAAGAAAAACCCTTTCTTATTGTTTCCAGTCAGCTTTTCTCAAGTCGAACTTGGAGCTCCAGATAGCTGAATATTAGAAATGTCCAGGAAATTCTGTCTTAAGTATCTGAAAATACTAACAAATGTTTATTCCTGATGAAGAATGATCAAACAATGAAGAAACATTTAAAAAGAACATTGTTATGTTGACAGTTAACTAGTGTACACAGACTGTGAACTCAAAATTTCTCTGGCCTAAATCTGTTTTCCACACAGAGTATGAAATGGAGAGAATGTGGTTGTATGAAATGTCAAGTAAAATTTAGTAGACTCCTTAACTTTGTACGTTGACTTTGCTATCGTTACACTGAAACTGAGTTCACATATCAGTGAAAATCCAGAAAACCATTCCTGCCAAGAACCATCAATCATTCAAACCCATGCACAGCTGTCACAGTCCACTCAACCTCCACCAGTGAACTGTCATATAAGAGGTCTGCAATGCATACATGTGTGGGCCTCAGCATTTGTAGCGGAATCATGGGACAACAACGTCACGTGATCAAGGAGCGCATGGAAGAACGTCAAGTAAATGAACGGAGTCTTGTATCATGTCAGCACTTTCTAGATCACTGTTTAGTTACATATAAAGTTTGTGTTACAACATTTTCATCTCTTTCCCGTGCTAATTTCCCACAATATGTCTACTAGTGGTGAAGAATCTAAATTACATCGAATATGGGAACAACAATTGCAGAACTACAAGGAGTAGTGGCTGGACTTGTCAGCGTTGTAAAAGATTTGACTACAAATGTTAATCATGGTACTCAAACCATCAGCGACACAGCTCAAGCGGTTTCTGCAGCTCCTAATCGGGATAATAAACAAGGCTTTATACGCAAAGAGACCAGCAGCCAGTGCAGCTCATAAAGCGCCAGTGTAATCTTCTCACCAAAACATGCTTGTCGTTTCTGGAACAACATTGTCTTGGAGATTGGCCAAGATCTGTGTTGTTGATCGCTTAAACTACAGAAGGCTATGAAGGAAAAGTGGCAGATGAAAAATTTAACATTTGTATCGAAAGGTTACGTGCAGAATTTGGCAAATCCAAAGAAGACAAGTGCCACTTATTAGCAGCCGACTTAAGTGCTATTCAACAAGAGCGCAGTGAATCAGTGGAACAGTTTACATCCAAATACAAGAAACTACTGCATCAATTGGAGAAACTTGGCAAAAAGATTGCAAAAGGTTGTCCCACCATTGTTATTTCACATTTTATTTCTAAAGTCAGTCCCAATATTGCTCAGCAGCTTGTTGTGAAAATTTGAACAATTTGAAACGCTCAATAAGATTGTCAAAGCAGCTTGTCATGTTGAGTTGTCATTTCAAACTGTGCCCACTGCTTCAAATGCAAATAAGTTGCTGGATGAATGGAAAGTAACACTGAATGCCTTTGTTTCTTCGGCTACCGCTGTAGAACCTCGACTGCAAAATCAGCACCCTCAACGACAGCAAAGGGCTTGTCACACTTGTTGAGAGCCAAACCATCTGTCACGATACTTTCCAAAGTACCGCCAAAAGAGAATTCCAAGCAACCTGAGATCTGCAGAAATTATCATTGTTTTCCCAAGTCCAACTGCGAAGAAGACAGCAACAAATACAAGTATGGCCAGAAACACCGGTGCCAATTCTGCAACAAATGGGGCTGTAAAGCCCTTAGACATCTGGAAAATCATCCATCAAGTACATTGCCTAGCACTGCATCTGATGAGGTTAATTCTTTGAGGTAACAGCTTGTAATCCTATCTACTATCACAACATGTGCAACATGTGCAACAGTTTATTTCTACTACTGTAAACAACTAAAAGAATTTACAAGATTATAATTATAAATAAATAAATAAATAAATAAATAAATAAACAGTACAGTAC